AAGATAGAAAATGTATTGATGACTGTGCAACAAAAACATTTTTGTTATTTACGTTTTTTTAATTAGACAAAAGTGTTAATTTTTGAGGTTCACGTGGTTTGATAAGGAATAAATTTAAAAAACCATTATTTTCGTTTAAGTTTCTAGTCACGAGCATTCACGCCCCACTATTGGTGCCAAATGGGTCGAAAAACGTTGTCAAAAATTTAATATCTAACATTCGGGATCGCCTGTGATTAATTTTTCCATAAAGCGTATTCGTTTCGGGCAATTTGTAGCATCACGACAATTAAAAGTTGACCACGCGCACGTTGATTACACGGTGATTTAATTAAGGGACTAGCTTAGGTACCCTAAGTCCCAACACACATTAACCCAAAAGTAACCCTTACGTTATTGAAAATATTTTTTTTTTTAAATTATTTGAAGTATTTTGTAATTATACTTCAATATCGAAAACCAAACAAGTGTATTGTAAATAATATTCAAGAAGAAACTAAAAATTAAAAAATATATATACATTTTTTTTTCAAAAAATTTGTTTTGTATTGACAAGGACTTATTACGTAAAAATTTATTTTCAAAATCGTTTATGCTTTTCGAGTTAAAGTTAGTCCTTATTATAGAATAAATCACACAGTGTGGCAGGTATTGCTAATTATTATTATCCGATATAACGGCAAGTTTGGGATTGATATTTATTGCAGATATATAATAATAATTTTACCCGATCAAATCTATTTGCGGTTGTTGATATCTCTATTTACACATTTGGGCTCATTCATAAATATATATAATATGTATATAATATGTATGTATATATATATACTGTAAACGCGTATGAAATAACAACTTTACTTATAAATCTCGTGTTGAGAGCGGCCACTTTCTATTAGTTTATAAACAACGTGAAATCTTAAAGCACAACAAAAGTTTTCCCCGTAGTAATATTCGAAAATTATATAGTCGAAAGCAAAAGTTTTCGTGTACAGTTTTTTTTCCTATACTTCTTACTTATAACGCGTATTATAATATAAATGTGTAACGCACGCGTCATAATATACCATTCGTTCCGTAAAAACTGTTTCACGGGCGAAAAAAAAACCTGAGTTCTGGCGCAGTCACTATACTATATAGCTACAATATATTTATAGAGCCGTTGAAATATAATAATTATTAGTTGGGTACCTTTGCTTCGGAACAAATGTGTAGAGTAAGCTTTTTTTACTTACTTTTTACTTTCAATCATCGAGTTTCTTTCTCGGCCAAAACGGGTCGTGCAATTTGACGAGTTCAAGTTCCGCTGAACAACGACGACCACTTTAGTAGGTATTGAAGTTCATATTTGTATTCGATTTTAAATTCCGGTATCGGACATTGACTGCTTAACAATGATCGGCATAAAAAATTGTCACCGAATTCGATCGCAATTTCCGCGATTCCGACCGGTGAACATTACATATTACGAATAGTTTCGATCAACTGATTTCGAAAACGTAATATGTTTGAAACTCTACACCAAATCGTAAGTAATTCTCGTTCGGCTAGCCAACACTGACGTATTCAGTTTTACTGCGAAACGTTTTCATGTTTTCAATCTTGCAGGTCTGAAATACACTCATGAGATGCAACGGATCGAACATTTCTCGTGACGATAAACGTGTGAGCTGATCATTTGTGTTTAACAGGCATTGGCTGAATTATGAGGCAACGTAATAAACAATTAACCCCCAACCCTCCTAATCTCACAATTGTGTGTTCGTGTGGTCTTCGTACAGCAACTAGAATTTTTTCAGAACAGAACACTTTATGGAACCATCCGCTATTATCCACATTATTTCGCTACATTTTTACGAGTATAAAATGTGTTATCTATTATTTAAAATTCAAACTACTCGGATTCACCTATGAAAAAAAATATTACTCGACAAAATATGTTTTCTAAATCTAAGAACATTCATATATTCATAAAATGTAATTCAATAATATTGCTTAATATATTTTATTAGGTAATATTAACCAATACATTATTATTACCACTACTTTTTTAAATATTTTAATCACGATAAAAAAAACCTAAATTTTAAATATGATTAAGCGAATTTAGTTCAACAAACAATAATTATGGTGTAAAATATAACTAAAATAGATTTATTTTATTATTAGTTTTTAGATAATAAAATCTTGAGAAATCTTTTTCATAGGAAAAGTCGTGTTCGAAAGTCCAAGGGCAAAGAGATTCTAAAATAGTTTTAATAATTTCAATAATTTCAAAAAACACTTCTCTAACGTTGGTTGGAGTGCAGTTAAAAATATAATACAGGAACCTAACATTTCGAGGTTATTTGTAGCAATATCGTTGATCAATATAAAATATGCAATTTCATAAATACTTTTTGAATTTTTGTTTTTAATCATGTCCTTTGGTGATAAAATTTTGATGGTCAAATTCGTACTAATATCGCCTATATAAGATTAAAAATCATACTATTCTTCAATTAAACCAAATTCCTCTATTTTATTTATTAACAATTTTTAAGGATGCACTTCAAACAGTTTTTGTAGATTCAATAATTAATTTTTAATTAAGTTGTATTAAAATGGTGTCAATGGGAATAAAAGATTATTCATTGTATAAATTCGTTGTTGGAAAAAAAATTCAGTAATAGAGTTTATAATACTATAATATGTATATCCTAAGCCTAACCTATGAACAACTTATCAACAATACACTTTTTACATAGTTAATCATTAATTAAACATATATTTTTGTGATGTCAAGTACAATGGGAGACGCAGAACTGCTTTTGGGGAAGGGGAATGCCACGACTATCGTGATGGATTTTTGGACGGCAATACGTGTTGATGATATCATCGGCCCTGTTGCGATTTACGATTAGGCCGAAGATTCAATCCCTGCCCGAAAATAACGAACTGTATGCGTCGATTTAAATAATAAAAAAACATCCCACACGGCACACCCACTCACTCGTAAACGCATATAATAATATTATATACTATTATACCAAACGTACTTTTTTAAATGTACCTACCTATACATTTTTTTACGTTTCCCTTTTCGTGTGTCTCTATTATTCTGCAGAGGGGAAAAAATATACTCACCGCTAAAGAAGAATTCGCGCACGCACGATCCCGCTCTTTGTGTACATATTTTCTGAGCTCAAATGTGCAGCGTATTGTATACTTGCGTAGTTTTGGGCACACGTCGACCATTAGAAAAAAAAACCGATAAAAGCTTAAACCGTCTAAAAACTATTATATTATGTATAAGCTGCACGTTTCGATCCTTAAAGTATGCTTCTCAAACTCAAAAAAGTCCCTAGTATAAATAATAGTGATGAGTAGAGCTAAGATTTTGGTGAATTTTCTCTAAGTGTTATACAATTCTAACTAAAAACTAAATTTGTTTCGTAATATAACAAAATATGTAATTTTTATTTTTCATTTTTAAGGTCATTTTGACATAGTGTGGTTCATTTTGTGTATTTATAGTAATTTTTGTTTATTTTTAACTTTTTTAGTATGTGTTGTAAAGGTAATCCCAGTTAGTACTTATAGACAATTACCTACTCTAGTCCATTGATATTGAAAAAGTAATATAATTAATTGTCGATTTATCCGATAAGATTAAATATCGAACGAACCCATAACTATTTAGGTATACAATAGTAGCTTTAGTAGTGAATTCGACACGTACTTATGTGGTTCTACCGATCTTAACTGTACAAAATGTCAAAAATTAAATCAACAGTAGGAAGCCGTTTACGTAGTTTTGTGAACGAGTTTGGTGCGCCGATATTTTTCCTACGGACGGTATGGTTCATCACTGATGACTCTGTTCTGCAAACTGTTCATTATTTTAGTCCAGTGTCTTTTTAACGATGTAATCTACACGATATGTATAAGTAAATAAGAAATCATATTTTTATTTCAATTTTCCTTTCAAATAATTGTTGAAAAAATAGTACGTCTGCTGTATGGGTTTGACCAGATTATTTTTCGAGAATAATTTAGACTATGGAAATATAGAGAATAAGAATTTGGAAAAAAACTAAAACATATCGGGTTGGATGAGAGTAATCTCGATCTCGAAGTGGACTTATTCTACGATAAACCGTAAACATTTATCGGACTATAAAACTTATTAGATACTTTCATTGATAATTGCTACTGAGACATTTGAACGTATACATACAATATTACAATAATACTAATGTACAATAATATGCTAATGTATCATAATATAAGACATCGATGTTGTCAACGCGTACGATTGGTATGAATACTGTTGCGTTTCAGCTAAAATGTTTTCGACGACTATGAATTGATTTGGCGTGCGTAAGACCTCATATTATATTAATTATAATGTGGGCATTGCAATATCGAGTTTTGGAAATTTCGGAGATCTGTCCTAAAGTGTGAACTTTCGTTTGGGAAGTTCCTTGAATAAAATCAATTCCACTACTGCATGAAACAATTCTGTACATTGATTTCGAGTCAATTAAATTCACAGGATACCTGCCAACCGCGGTGCCCGTGGGACGTGAAATCACTTATTATATTTTTCGTTCCTACGAAAAATCAAATAGTACCGAATGGTTTGTTGATATGAACAAAATAGTGATCCCTCTGAAAAAAATTCTTTGACTGAATAATATCATACGTACCATAATAAACGCAAGAGTACGATTTCAATGCTCCAACAATTTGCTGTATACGACATATTATACTTATATATTATACCGAGTGTATCACGAAGATGTGAATACGAATGCAAAGGTAATTTCAATGTAAAGTTACTGTCAATAGTTTTCCCGGTACTCGGAGAGTGTGTCAACTCGCCGCAGCCGCTGCCATATTGGTATATAGGTAATAGTATTACTACCAGCAGCCAGCTATTGTAATATAAATGTTTTTTTATGTTATTGTGTAGGTCTTAACCGTTTATGTTTTTCTAACAGACTTGTATCTTGTTTCAGGGTAAGACTTGCAAGCTGAACATGCACAAAAACATGTACTACAAAGGTGAGTGGACATAAATTCGTTTTGAACATATTTTATTATAATTTAATATACGATGGTGATATTATATTCTTATTTTGTAAGACTACCGCGATGTCATAATAATATTATGACGACAATCTATTAGTACGCTTTTGAGTCACAACCATGGTTATTTTTATTCAACATTTATAATTTTCTTTACGTCAAACCTCAAGTGTCACTCGTCATAACACAACCTTATTATAATATTACTTATATTCTTACTGGTAGCTTCATACGTTAAAAAAAAACATCCCTTATTTAAATGTTCCATATTTTTGTCTCTCTGCGAGCCTGTTTCACATTTTCCGCTCGCCCATCCACTACAACAGTAGGCCGCAAACGTAATGACGAAATGTGGTTTCTGTCCAAGTCTTATTACTTCTCACTTGACAATTCATAATCTATTATCAACACACTATATGCAGATCGATTTCTCCAAGTTTTACCGTTTTACAGATTAAAATGAACACAATCATAGATGCATTTTTGCCATCCCCGCCTTCCATTTTTAGATTCAAACTTGGTTTTTTCTCGAATTTCATGATTTTTGCTGCAACCCCAAATGATTCATCAGTAATGAACTACAATACGGTTTTGTGATAGGAAAAAACTTTTGCAACTATAGTATAAAGTACTTACAACAACTAACAAACATTTAGTTTCCTGTTTAAAAAAATTTAAATTAATAAATTTAAAAAAAATGTTTTCCTACATTTCTAATTTTTTTTAAACTAATTCATAGTAGGTAGTTGCAACTTTGCAACTTGGTAGTACTTGCCAATTTGGCAATATTGTAGTTCATTAGGGGTCGTAGCACAAACGACTTCGGTTTGAATCCGAAATTTGGAGTTGGGGGTGCCGCGGAAGTCAATTTAACATCAATCACCGACAATAACTTACATTATTGTAATCGTCTTGTCCGCTTTATTTATATTGTATACCCATATTACGCCATAATACGCTCGTATATGAAGTAGCGTATGTGATTTATCGAGACGTTATTATTATTTGTATTATTACATTAAGCAATAGGTACGCGTTGCTGCACTATCGCTGTAGTGCGTTGTTTACCACATTTCCCGGACGAAAGCTTCGGAAAACTTACCGCCATGCCCACTCGTTATTCGCAATTATCGTTAACGTAATTTCACGACGACCGCCACGATTATTATTACAAGTGCCGCCGTATGCGCGGACCCAAAATTGGACGCAGGTACGTGTCATTATCGAACGTCTTTAATGACAATTTATTCGTGCGGGCAACGAGGACCCGATGCACCACGGTTTAAGTACGCCGCGGTTTTGTTCAATTATTTCACCGGAATTAGACCTTTTAAAAGTGACATTTACGGCTACAGCTGGCGACCGAGGTATAATATCGTTACCTATATATACGTGGTATGCTATATAATACATTATATAATAATATAATTTACACAGCGATCCGTATATAGGTATCGCGTGGTATAATATATATGAGGGTACCCATAGTATATATATATAGAGGTATTCTCCCTTCTTCAAGCAACGTCCGGCACGCTCTCGCGGTACACCCCGCACAAAACCGATATTATTTCGACCGTATAAATTATTATCAAACCAAACTTGACCAGACTAAGCCGGACTTAGCGAGACACGGTCGCACACACTCTCCGTCGTCCTATCCGTCACAAAGTGATACCCGAGAGCAAATCGTATCAATTCTCCCGCCCACCCACAATCTGTGGTACCTATACCTATATAATATTATACTACGTTGTACCCGAAATTACTTTTTAGACTGCGTATATAATGTTCATATATTATTATAATGTACCTATGGAGGTGCGTACGCCGTTCATTCTTCTTCTTCTTATTATTATTATTATTGTTGTACGATGCCGCGTTGGCGAGACCAAAGTTTTGACTTAAGCCGAACCGGCGAGATTTATTATACGTTTCGGCTTAGAATTGCGAATCGACGAGGACTGCTGCGCCAGAGATGAGAGGTACTTGCTATCACATGCATTGAGCACCCCTCGACCCAAACAGCTCCCGTTTTTGTATATAGTCCTCGCTTGACGGACGACGGCCGCAGCTCTTAACCCTTTAAAATCCGCGTCAGACGGCTTTCGACTTTCGACACCCACGCGATCGCGTGTAAACTTTAAAATCAGCGCCATCAGACTATAATACCTATTCGGGCTTTTCTCACCGAATTTGGACTTCCCGACTAGACTATAATATTATCTACGTGATGGACGACGCCTACTACAACTAAAAGTAGTACAAATACATCAAGTCGATTACGTCTCGACGATATTTTATATAGTTAAATAAACCATATTATATTATGTAGATGTAGTATTATTTTCGTAGTTGAGACGTCTTATCTGTGAAAATGACATATTATCTACATCACATGCACTCGTCGATACTTTCGATAGAAATATATACAACAAACGTTTAGGCACGTCTCCCTATTCCAGCCACATTGGCATTTTAAAAATTCGTTTTGCATCTGTTTAGTGTGTATTTACACAACTTTATATAGTCCCAAATATCTATTGAAAATGGTTCGTTCACAAAACCATTATTCACATGTCTCCAGCCGGCCCTCCTCTCTAGTATTACGCCTTAAAAATTATACCATGAAAACAATTGAAGATAAGAATTTTGGATATATTGTAACCGCCCCAATGTGACGCGTTTGAAATTTCAAGCTCGAGCCAAAAGCACACAGTCAATCCATGCTAATTAGTAAAATTATTGTAACATGTAAAAACTGATAAGACAAATGTTGAAAATGTCGTAATATAAGGAGAAATTTACAAACGTAATACGGGTGATCGACTACATTATAATTAAATGCAATATAGTTGTATAGTTATACCTAATAATCACGTGATGCAGTTTGCTGCCGAATGTTAAAAAATTAGAGAAACTAGATGCATTTTATATTTTTTTTATACTTCGCCGCGCGTGTTGTACAAACTTTTTACCACTAGCTCATAAAAAATTCAAAGGTTAAAAAATTCGTTGAATACAAATATTGCCCGGCAGAACTTTGTCCCATCGCGGTCGTTAACTTTTCTCTTTTCTCGTTTTTTCTCCCTATTTTATTTAGTGTCCTCCGTCTCCCGTAGTCGCTCTCCGACATTTCCGTCGGCCGTACGGTTCGTAGTTGTTTAATCTACTCGGCGTTGTCAACGCTTCTCACGTCCCGGAATAATAATAATAATACAAAAAAAAAAACAAATAAAAAATAAAACTAAATAAAATTGACTCTATTCAATTTATCCGGCGCTCATATACACTTCCTCTGTGTGTAAAGTCACTGAAAATTTCTTGACGCCTCGAGAAATATTATTATTGGCGTTTTTTTCTCATGGTCGGAAAAAAGATAATGCAGACATGAAATTATGCATCACTCGAATATAATTCGACTTTGCTTCTTTCATCCCTTGCTCGGTCTCCTCCTTTTTTCTCCTCTCTCTCTATTATTGTTATTATTAAATCATCAACGGCATCTTTTTTTTTTTGTTTTTTTTTTTGTTTCAGCCAACGATTGGACATCGGATTCGTTGTTCCAGATATAACTTCGGTAAACTTTATTGTATATTATGTCAGTAGTGTTTTCGTGGCGAATACGATAGTTTTATCACTATTGCAATGGCTTCGAAATACAATCAAATATATTAAATTCGCTGGGTTCCTTGTAGAGATTAGTTGTGAACTACAAAATTTCAATAAAAAAAAAATTCGCTGGGTTGGGTTTTTAATTTCATGGTAAAAAATTCTAGTGTCCAAAATTCCCTAAGCAAAATAAGAAATCAATATTAAAATGTAAATGTCTTGTCAAGTTACGTACTTGATTCGATATTGTACCTATTATCTATTATACTGATTGGACACAAGCGCTACGATGATCGCGATCGTATAAACCGTTAGTGATTGAGTGGGAAGAAAGTCGAATTGGTCAACGGAAAACCTCAAAGACCTAGTGGCGTATAATAGGTAAATGCTATTTTCACGGTTTGCGTACATTTTTTTTTTATTAAATTCAACAACCTACGTGGTTTTAATTCTCGTTGATTGTGCGACAACAATACTATACCACACAACCAATAGACATGTAACAAATGTGTTGAACGTACTCTTATTTGTAACGTCCAAATCGCCTACATTTTATAGGTATACGCGAAAGTATGTTGATAAAATATCATTGGCGTCCGTCATCTGGCTCTAATCGGTACATTACTTTTCGTATTTGACAATCATGATGTTGGTATTCTTATATTATCCTATTAATAATGTTAAATATTATTTGTTCTTGATATTAATTCAGGATATTTTGAAATAATAATACATAATATAAATGTATTAATTCCTTTATAATATACATAGTCGCCAGAAGGTGACGTTATTTGAGGCTTATTTGTACTCGTATCATGCGCATTATTCGGCAAGAAAGAAAACTTAGATAAACATTGAGTTATTCGATTTAATGTATAGTAAGTTAATTAAGTGATTAGTCATTGGGAGATTTATAGAGAATTAACAAGGTTGTATCTACGATCAACCTCAACCTGTATTCAATGATGCCATGGATGTTTTCAGGGGGTTTCGTTTCTCCCTCCCCCGAAGAAACTTTAAAAAAAAATTCGTTATATTTATTTTAATTATTATCAAGTATCATTTTTTTTTGTTATTCCACTCCCTCATCCCCATGTCATAGTTAGTTATACCTTGCTATATCACGAATAAGATCGTTTGACAAAATAAAAATGCCAACCGACAATAAAAAAAATATGCATATACACAATTACTTTGAATCACTAAGGATTTTTTATAATTTTAATAAACAATAATATCATTTTTACTATTTTTTATAACATTTTTGTATTCTATTATATTGCTATAATATTTTTTATAATTTATGTGTGCGAAGTATTTGCAAGGGTTGTGTACAACTAGTTAATTTTGAATTTGTGATAAATCGTCCAGGGCAAAATAATATGTACATTACAATTCGAGTAATCTACAGAAAAAGCGGTGTAATTGACAACTACCAATATTATCATGTCATCCGTGAACGAATTTTAAAAAAAGGTTTTCCATCCGTCCGTTTGTTCTGTCACAACTGCATATTTTGATGCACATCAATAACAGCGTTTATAGCAATTTACCTGCGACCCCGCTCCGATAGTAATAATTATAATATGTACCTAGTACCTATACCACCAAAACAATTGCCAATAATATACGCAAACGTATATAGTGTATATACCGCGTGTATACTATGTTATTGGCTATTTATACTGTTTGCTATGAGCGTATAAGCTTCATCCGAATAATAGCTATAGTAATTATATCATTTGTGTACGATTCAGAGAGCGGATTTGTACTCGTTAAGCCGATTCGTGTGTCATAGGTATGTACCTAAAATATCCGGTGTATACACGTGTTTGTTTTAGATACAGCAATTATTATTATTAATATTATTATTATTATTGACAGCAAAAATTGGATTTACATGTTTCGCAAATGCTTATTTTTGACAATTTGACGAGTTACCTAACTTGGATTTCCGATATATTTTAATTTATTATGTTTTTAAACGATATCACTACACGTTATATTAGTTATTACCTATAGGATTATTCATAATAGGTACCATAATATAACAAGGTCTGCAGGATTATAGGTGTAAGTTAAAATAACTGAAATAATAAAATAATCATGTAAAAAACAAAATATCTAGATAAAAACTATAAGATCGACCAAAACCCAGTTTCTCAATTAAATCATCTTCTTCGGCTTTTATTATTATGCACTGTATGTAAGAGTAACACTTATTATACATAACTGTATTATCGGGGCCTGGTGAATCACTACTCAAGCAATGGCCCGGATGGGTGACCGTCTGATCACCCGGGTTTTTAGTGACCATTCTCGCCACCACAGTGAAAACCGGTTAATAACCATGCATTTGATGCCTTATAAAACAAAATTCAAACAATACATATTACTATCTATATATTCTATACGTATATACAATTATGATATCCTTTCGATAATATTCATCGACTTAGAGTTATTTCGTGATGTTAACGTTTAATATTGATCGATTTAATTGTTATTATTATTATTGTTTTTTTTTTTTTTTTAATATTCTAGTTTTCACCGGCGGTTTTTGATATAATACGGCTTGCGGCGGAACCGTCGTCATCTCGCGTACCGTTTCGTCCGACTTCCGACGGCTCGACCGGAACAGCACATTGTCAGCGATGGTTTCCTCGACACCTAACGACGGACGGTACCGGTCCAGGACCGAACAAAAATACATACCGCAAACTATAACAACAATGTTATATTATCATTCCTTCATAATATTTAGTAATACTTATCGTTAGTTACCTGTTAGTCGCCTCTATTATATAATAATAATATTAAATAGTATTATCGTGCACGACGACTCGTCTGGAGTTGACGACGGTGATGGTGGGAGGGGGAGGGGGGTTAGCAAACTTGTGTTTGTAAAATATGATATTATTATCGTCATCGTCATCGTCATCGCCGTGTCGTCGTGATCGTTTAAATGCCGTACAATATATTATATTTTGTATTGTTGTTTTATCACCGTTCGTAAATATTAATGTACATATTATTATTATTATAACGTATAACAATTATTATTACTATGCTACGATATTATATTATTATGTAAATTGATTTACTATTAACGATTTATGTTGTACGATATATATGATATATTTAGAGAATAGTTTGTAATAATATTGTACCACCATAATAATAATATATTTTATTATTATTATTATTATTACTATTATTATTACTATTATTAACCTGTGCAAAACTCGACGGTGAATAATGCTAAAACAATCGCACCGGCGGAAACTATACCGAATACATTATAACGCGATATTATAATAATATTATTATGTAAAACATTACGTAGCTGCCGTGTGTATACGTCTGTTCGACCACGATATTATATTAATAAGTGTGTACAATTGTTATTGTCTGCCTCCCCCTTCAATATAATTGTTTTATACAGGTGATTATTATAAAATAATCATAATCGTCGAAATAATAATATAATGTCCCCGACAAAAATAATAGCAATTATTATTACATTGGTCGCCGACCGCGTTTTTAACGACGCGCACAAAACAATATCATTATACTCGACGATGTGGACACTGTTTCGCGTGTCGTGTAGGTACATATACTACCTACCTATATTATATTATAATTATTTGTATAACACGATAATGGTAATGGTTGTGTTGCTTCGACGCGAAAGCTAATAAACTGTAAATTGTAATTCTAAAAATACGAACGTTTTCAGTTTATATTGTCGTGTGTTACACGTGCCTAAACCAACAACGATTCCCGTACATAATGTATACCTCCGTGTAATGTAACATTTCAAGCAATTGTTATAATTACTACCTATACGCCGTCCCGGAGACAACTGAGTGTTTTATCGATCTGATTTATCGGTTGTTTCCGATCGCGAAATGCGGAAAACCTATAATAATCGGAAAACTACCACCCGACTGCGGGCGACTGCGGGTCCAACGTAATATTATACAGTGGTGTGTAAATACGATACAGTATACCTATAATGATAATAATAATAATAATAATAATATAATTATGTTTCATGATAATGACGTGACCTTTCGGTATCCATCCCAAATCATGTCATATCATTGAACATGAAACGCGAAATAAAATATTATGACGACGAACGATCCCGTGCGAAATGGCAATGAAGTAAGTACTTACACGCATAAAATAATTATGTTTTTTTCAGTTACCATTTTTCGTTTTACCGACAGAGAGTTGTATTTTATTTATTGTCGTCGTTATGGAACGTACCTACATTAATTTTTTTTTTTTAGTCGAGTATAAAACCGTAGAACGATATCTGCTCGACGATACTTCCACAAAGTACCCTACTGCACACCCATCACCCGTACAAAATATATTACGAGTGAAAAAAATACTAAATTATTACATTCATGGTTTAAAATTGATAAATTTCAACATAGTACGTCATCATTATTGAAAGCAAAAATTATTTTATATTTATTTTCTACAAAAAAACTACTGAGACACTCTGAGAGTAACTCATGTGGAGATCCATTAAGACACGGTATATTGACGGTTTCCTAAGAAAGTTTGATTGTAAAAAAAAAACTAGCGATCGAGTTTCATATAATCTACTGCATGATAAAAAATCCAAACACATTATTGTTCGTCATTGTTCAATCACAATTAATTTGTGCAGTATTTTTTTTTACGAATTATACAATATTATATTTTTCATTATTGTCGTATTATGCAAATACTTACCAAATAATAATTATAGACATAATCCGTGTAAACATTAATTGTTGATGTCCTTTTAGAATAAGTAGTAAATTAATATTTGATTTTATCAATGCCGATTTTTTGCCGTTGTTGATAAATCATGGTTTGAAAAAACTAAAATAATACTACCTACGCTATGTAATATGTGCTATCATATTATTGAGTAAGTATGTTGTGTCAGATATGGCAACTTTTGATTAGGCAGCATGCTTGAATTTGTCTCAAAATGAAATTGTTTTCCTCTCTACTATTTCAATCCATGATAATATTATGTGTTTAAAAAAATATTTAGGTGGAAACAACTTTTTTGGATTAAGCTTTCTTAACTTCTAATAATAATTAATTTTTATCTAAATAAAGGAAAATAAATAATTTATCTTAAGGATAATGTGTTATGAACCGAGTGTATATATAGGTACTATCAAACATGGTATATTTCATCATATCTATGTTATCTGGGAGAAGTAGGTTTAGTTTCAAATGATAATTCAGCCTTTTATTTTATTCTATAATGGCTAAGAGAATTCTACGTACCTACATTCATATTTTATTTTTTTTTTTAAATCCGACAAAATGTTTGAATTATTAAATATGTATACTGATGTCGGTACACTCGACTGTTCACCTGTTTGCTCGAATCAAGTATACAGATTGATCCTTCAAGTACTCTCACTATTATTTTAACTTTCATTTGTTCGAATTCTGATTTTTTGAAATTTTTTATCTTAAAACCGCACTATCAAATACTTAATTTCATTTTTACACCGTTATGAAAGTATTGTTCTGTGAGGGAAAAAACTTTTTTTGTCTAATGAGAAGTACCTATTTTTGCAGTAAATTAATAAGCAAATTATGTTTTTAAGCTTATGTTGTATCAAAATGGAAATTGAATTAAGTACCTACATATAGTTCTTGAATTAGATATGCCTCCACTAATTTATGGCTGGAATGTTGGGTTTTTATTATTGTTTGTCATTTGTCGATAAATATCAAACGCTTTATTCACTATGCGCCAAATCAGGTGATAGAATGATAAAAGTTGAGAATAACAAACAGTTGAAAATTATATTAAAGTTATTTTACAAAGCATAATAATTAACGGAAAACAACAGATTACCACCTAAATATTATATTGAGTGATTTAGTTTTCTGAGTTCGATGTTATTAAATTATATCCATAGATTCAGGTGATATTTTTTGTTTTATTTCCACTGCCTAGCGCATACACTGAAATACCATATTAAATTATAAACACGTTTTTAATATTTTTCAGAATATAATATAATGCAAATCTTGAGAAGAATGTTGTAATTGAAAAACTATTTTTCAATGTAGGTATACACATATACATTTTAAATATGATTAATATAATTGGGTTGGTTATTGAGAAGTACCTGGATAATAACTTTTCTTATTACTATATAGGTAAATATTTTTACCTGATCTGACTAATAATAAAACTCTATCCTAGTATTTTTTTTCTTTATATACATACGTTTTATTAAATTGTATTAACGGTCTGATAAGTTATAAGTATACACGGTTCGCAGACTTTCAACAAGTATTCACCTTTATTAGTGTAAACAGTATGAAAGTATGCTTGCCGACTGGAGTTTGACATCTTTTAGATTCGTAGTAAACCTATTCATCCGCAGATATTATAATATGTCATTATTGTATTAAACCATTTAAACTTATTATAGATGTGTCGCATGAAAATTAGCAAAATTAGTATAGTTATTATTTGGTTTTTGAATCACCTACATGTCCTACATATTATACAAAACTAGTCTCAAATTAACGCAAGTTTAAACTTTTAACGTGCACTTGCAGAAGTCCCTCAAAACAAAGCCCCATTTTTTTTATTACTAAAAGTCTACAAAATATTATATTAAAATACACATTATTTACATAATATTTTAATATTATTAAAAGTAAGTTAAGTGATGATACTACTTGTATTTATATTATTAACAATATAAACTTTCAAACCACGATAAACAGTTTGTTTTTGTTCAGATAAAAATAATACATTTACTTAAAATCACTGTCCAACGTGTAAAATAAAATAGAACACTTTTTACTTATTCATAATATACTATTTAAACATTGTTTTTATATTTTTTTCCGTCCTATATACACGAAATGATGTGTAGATACATCTTAATTCGTAACACAATATTACGATATAGGGACAATATTTGAGCGAAGCTACAAAAAAAAAACGAACAAAAAATATGTTGGGTCTTGGAAATCAGGTAAATATCAACTAATTTAATATCTAAGTTTTCAATAACAGTACACAATTATTTCAAAACAGGAAATTCAGGAATAATAATAAACATGTGGGTATTATATATTTTTAAATATTTGAGTTATTGCGTATCTCGATACTACAATGAGTTAAATGCAATGGCACGTGCAGTATAATTCTATGTAATTATTACTTTATGTGTTCACTACAAATTAATTATTTTATTACCTATTGTTATATTTTGATAAGACGTATGTCTGCTGTATACAATTCATTAGTTAAATATACATGTATTATGTTTTTACGAATAAAAAATGGTTAGACCTCTCAAAATGCGTCTCATCTATGTAATTTATAATATTATGTAGGGTGGATAATTTGAAAACAGTTAATCGGTAATGATATTTTTTATTTAAATATTATTCAATGGTTAAGGAATAAGAGAATAATAAAATCAGACGACTACACTATATAAGAATTATCGCCAACTATAATATTCTATGCAATATAATATCTGGTAACCGCTGTGTTATAACTTTATAAGTATATGTATAACTGTTAAACCTTTTTTTATATATGTTTTTAAGTGTTAGTGCTGTTCAATGGACTATGTCAACCGTCGAGGGTTATTTTAAAAGAGGGTGATGTGAACAGTTTTTCGGAGCATTCACTCAAATCAAATAT